GCGATGCGACATCACTCTTGCCCTGAAGGGTAGAGTGTACAATGCAACAGTACGTTCGACCCTACTATACGGTTGTGAAACCTGGCCCCTTAAAGCAACAGACCTGAAGAGGCTAGTTGCGTTCGACCACCGGTGCCTTCGCAATTTAGCACACATCTGGTGGGAACACCGAGTAAGCAACCAGCCTGTTCGACGCCTTGTTTACGGCACAGGAAAAGGAAATGAACTGCTCAGCAACGTTATTTCACACACCAGACTCCGATGGCTCGGCCACATGTTGCGCATGCCGGCCCACCGACTTCCGCGTTGCTTGCGCGCCGCGGGTGTGGATGGAAGAAAAGTAGAGATGGCCAAGCGATGACTTGGTCGAGAGGAATGAAGGCCCTGACTTCGGAGCTGGCCTCGGTTGGAGCGTCTCGGCTCCCTGGTTGAGATCCGAAAGACGATGAACACGTTTGGCTAGATACAGTTGCTGATATGGCAAGGAGCCGACCTCAGTGGCGTTTGTGCCTCTTAGCCTCCCCTCCAACCACGATCTTACTATTTAGCCTTATATAATTTTGCATAGCCAATTTTTTTGCTACATAGTAGCCGGCTGGTAACTTTCCGGAACGATGCCCATCTGTTGCTGGTAGTTCAGCTGGCTTGCTCCTGTTGCATTTCCCCCATTTTTCTTTTATATCTTACGGCACAGTAACTGAGGTGTTTCCCACCTCTAGCTAACGTGTATCATGATGATGATAATCACCGGGTCGAATTACAGAGCTGAATGAACATTAAGGTGGAAGCATGTGTTAGCTGACCAGATAAACGGGTGCGTGAATATCTACAAGATAACAGGGACGAAACAGCCGATTAGTGTTCAGGATGTATCAATACTGAGTGCTGCTGGGATGCTGTCATCCAGAAGGACGTGGAACGGATGGTTGAAACAAATGAGAAGCCACTGCCATCTGTACCTGTTGGATCGCGGATCACACACCAATCAAGAAACCGAATGAACTTGAAACACGAATTACTACGTGCATTAGGCGAAACTACACCAAATATACCAGCAATTGTTGGAACTAATCAATATCGGCCGTCTCATAAACGTATGTTACGACTTGCTTATTTAATAGTTGCTCAAAAGTAGGTGTTTCCTAGAATGATCGAACTTAATTAAAAATTGTTTTTATTTTCTCTATTAAAACTAAAGTTGCAATAATTAATAGCTAGTTCACCTTCAAACTATAACATTTTTTTACAGAGGAGTAGTAGGTGAAGTTGGGTGGTATAGGTAGAAATTCGTCACATCTAGACTCACTCAGACAACCGTCACACGCCCGGAGAAGCACTGTACACGCGTTTCATCCTTTCGAGAATGGGCAGCAGTGCGTGTTCCATCGGGCCCCGGTAGGGCTCGAACCCGCAACTCGACTGTTGCCACTCCGGGGTTGAGACCACTGAGCTACGGGGGACGGTAACGACCATCCTGAATTAGTTACTAGATGTGATGTAGCGCCGCTCACTATCCACTGACTTACACGTTACTGCCGTGCAGAGGACAGGGTAGCCCCTTCACCAAGCGAGGAGCTTACCAAACTTAAGCCGCCAATTAACTTATGGCATTATAAGCAGTTTGGTCTACGTACTGATTACAGAGGAGTAGTAGGGGAAGTTAAATGGTATAGGTAGAAATTCGTCACATCTAGACTCACTCAGACAACCGTCACACGCCCGGAAAAGCACTGTACGCGCGTTTCATCCTTTCGAGAATCGTCAGCAGTGAAGGGGCCACCCGGTCCTCTGCACGGCATTAGCGTTTAAGTCAATGGATATTGAGCGGCGCTATATCTCATCTAGTAACTAATTCACGATGGTCGTTACCGTTCCCCGTAGCTCAGTGTTCTCAACCACGGACTAGCAACAGTCGAGTTGCGGTTTCGAGCCCTACTAGGGGTCCGATGAAATGCGCACTGCTGACGATTCCCGATGGGATGAAACGCCCGTACAGTGCTTTTTCGGGCGTATGACGGCTGTCTGAGTGAAACTAGATGTGACGAATTTTTACCTATAACATTTTTCTACTGTAAATGTTTTTAGTGAACCCGATTTGTGAAAAACAGCCTCAATAAGCTTAAGAACCACTGCTTTGGACAAACGCCGAGATAATAACCAGAGAACAATCCAATCGGTTAGAAAAAGCAAATCCAATCACGAATTGGGAGACAAAGCAGCGATAAGGAATACAGTCTGTGGGATTAGTGAGTAGGAGGAGGATTCGTCGCATCTACAGTCAGCCAGACAACCACCACACATCCAGGAATGCGCTAACCGTCCGTTTCGTCCTTCGGGGACCCCTTATTGGCGCTTACCCACTGAATTCTCCCGGATCCGTACTCATGACTTTAATCTTACGAGTCAGCGACGTATGACACGAAGCTATGGGTGATGACGACGGACCGCCACAACTGATATGTGACTCCAATATAGGGTGACTCATCCTTCAGGTAATTGCACAAATGAATAATTTTGTTGCAACGGCCTCGCTTTGTGCACGACGCCTTTAGTAGGAACATCAACCTGACTCTTATGGACTGTTTCACGTGAACAAGTGACTGATCGAATTCTGTTAGACGCGCCCCGAGTGACTTTATCGGCCAGCTGTTCTTCCTCACTGTGCCGAGACCAACACGGCCTCCGCTCTTGGCCCCGAGAGAGTGAAAGAGCAGAAAATGACCTTCAGCGAGGTGTTAACTGTTCAAGCGGAGATCAAGCTAAGACAGGCGAAGGCTAAGTGAACACGGACAAGGATTTTACAGGCTAGTGTTTATCCTATGGGTTTCGTGGTTATCAGGAGGACGGCATTGTTTCCACTTGGCGATAGAACGAGGAGTGACGTACTTAGCACCCGACAACGGGATCACTAAGATGATCAAGCAATCAGTGGCCTGTTAACAGTTTCTTTTGGGTATAACAGAGAGAGTGACCAACTGATAACGCTGTCAGCAATAATTGCGAACTGTTAACCTTGTCGTCGATAGCGCATCGCGTAAGCGTGCCGGGCCGTAATCTTAAAGATCACAATCTGCCTTGTAATCCGAGAGCGCGGGTTCAAGCCTGCGTAGGGACCAGGCGACCTCGCAGTGTCCTTAGCCCACTCGCGACTGTTGGTGGTTGTGCGACAGCGAAGCGTAGGTACTGCGTACCGGCGCAATGCTGATGCCTTTTTCCATACCAACATGACTGTTATACTTGTAGGCAGCGGCGGAGCAACTACTTTTGCCGCCCGGGGCGGTGCTAAACATTTTCACCCCGTATGAGAGCAGAATAACCACGTGAGGGCCACACGCTCGGCACATTAGTTTACGATGAAATAAATGATCGTTTGGCGCACAGGTAAATGTGGTGAAAGTGACCACAATGGGACAAGTAGGGGGATTGCTGGGAGGAGAAGGTTTGCACAACTGTGACAAGTGGCGTAAGTGTGCTGTTTGTCATACTGAGTAACATTAATATCTTCAACCCTCAGCTTATCCGGATATTTTACCCTTTTTAATCGTTACCAAACAATCGACTGTACTAAATATTCCGCCGCGTCACATGCCGCCCGGAGCAGACTGCCCCCTCTGCCCCCCCCCTATCCTACGCCTATGCTTGAAGGATAGGAAAAGGTGTCTGGCACGACATTTTGTGAAACCATGAGGTTTCCATTACAAACCTACTTATATTTTGCTAACATGTATGGACCAGGACAAGAACATCTCGATGCTGGACGCTATTAACACGAAAAATGACTTGTCCCATCACACACAGCAGCTTACAGCTTATTGGCATATGGAACAAAAATGTGACAACTTTAAGAAGCGTTGACGGCAAGTGACGCGGAAGGCAACTATTGTGTTTTCGAATCTCAGCGGTGTCTCGGCAGAAATAGCAACACTACTGTGCTCATTTTGGTCAGCAGAGTCGAAACGGCCAGGAAATGTGGACATTCGTTTTCGTTCTGTTAAAGTCGCACGACCCAGTGTTGGTTGATCGACTGGCCCAGGATTCCGATTTGGGCACAGTGGAACATACCTCTACACATAACAGCAGATTTCTGATCGTAGTCTGGAGTTTTGATTCATAGATGGCTACTTGACAACCATAAAGGACGTCATCCGCACATTTGCAATCATTGTATGCTTATAACAAAGAAACTGTTCCAGCGTTCGGTTGAAATTTAAGGAAGACCAGATGGCCCCCTTGAAAAGTGTTCCAGTAGGCCGGAAGCCTAGATTACTATTGCCATTTATCTATTTATAGTGAGTGCGGTATGTATACTTGTCAGAGCTCTACCTATATGTGCTTGGGTGGATGTCTTTCTCAGGCATCAAATTGAACAACTTAGTTCTGTCATGCGTCCTAAAGGCATTTAATTATCCAACGAACCGAAACAGAACTGTCCTACACTCTAGCCAGTGCATCTGTGGTGCAATTTGCAAGACACGACCCTGCATGCAGTATGGCTCGTCAAGGTCTGTATGCAAATTGACACACGTCCACGTAGTGTTGTCTCGTAATCGTCTTAGCAGCTTACATGCCACCTCAATTGGTGGCGGTTTGCAAAGGCACTCGTTGCTCTGGGGGCCAGCTCTGTCCTCTGCACCTTGATAACATGCAAAACAATGGAGGATGTGCGGCGCTATATCGCAGTTAGATATCGGTCAGGCGCTCCGCTGCCGTCTCCTATGTCTCAGTGGCATAAGTCGCTGGCTTGTAAAAGTATGGTCGTTGGTTAGAATCCGGTGACATTCGGCAGGTGCGTGCTATTGACCATTCTCAATAGAATGAAAAGGCCGTCTAGCGCTTGCCGGGATGCGTGTTGGCTGTCTGGGTCTACCTGCGATGAATCTTCACCAAATCCAAATAAACCCCCTACTACTCCCTAGTAATGAGAAGTAATTTGTTTGGATTTCAAACCTCACGGACATGCATGTACTAGGGCGATAATACCGGGAATCTTTCTTTGCCACATGTGTTGTCCTACTTTGCCCTCATATGTCGAGGATAATGCGGCTGCTTGGAGACCGGTTAAGGTATATTTTGGTAACTCGGTGCACAGTTTTAGGGCGTCGTAATCACTGACATCATTAAATCCCAAAGTTCTGGTTTCTCAATGAGCGTCGATGGAAATAAGGGTTTCTGCAGGACCTAAGCAGAGAAATGAAGACAAGGAGGATGTATCCTGTGACGAAAAACTGAACTCAGTGTTCAGTTTGTGAGCTCCAGTGAATCGAGCAGAAAATTCTAGCTTTACCTACTCTTCCACCCATTTATCGCTGCTGTTATTACAAATGATAGCTATCTAACCCAGGTAACTATTTTGCATTTGTAGGTTCGCTCTCATTGTAGGTTGCTTTAATAGTGGAGAAAAAAATTTTGATAACTTTTAGCAGGTGCTTTCAGCAGAGCAGCACAGCTCAAAACAGGAATTGATGTATTTTTTAATGTATTTGTCCTAGCAGCCCACAAGCTACATAGCACTATCCCTATCCGAAAATGGTTGTACTCAAACGATTCTCGTGCTATAACGACAGGTCTTCGCTCATGAACATTAGCAACATCTCTTTCTGTCTTATTAGGCTTATAAAGCTTACCACCACTAAATTATTCCCGGTATCCTGCGGCACAGTCAAGTTGTCCGTTCACCTAGAATACACACACTGTCACCATGTCGAAAGTGCCCTTTAGCTAATTCCTATAAACTCTGTCCCACTATAGGACAGCTCTGAGTGACCGGCGGACTGCTCATGATTGATTCTTATGTACAATACATCGCTGCCCTTCATTTTCCTTAATGTTGTGCTGCAGACGAGCTAGTCTCCGTCGTACCGCTTAGCCACCGCATCGGATAAATATCCAGCGCTGTCTTGATGTCATTATTCGTATGAGAATAACTGCTGACCGTTAGCCGAAAGAATCACACGCTTGCTTTGTAATCTGGGGTTAAGCGGTTTGTGCTTGCGTAGGGGACCGGGCTACCCTCGCAGTGTCCGTGGCCTACGCGCGGCTGTGAAATGTCGGTACTGCGTACCGGCCTACTGCTGATGATAGTATCCGCCGATTCCAGTGCTCCATATACTAGCCATCCATCTGAACGAGCCCCACACATCGCAGCCGATACTTGCTCCGTTAGTGTGGGTCGCTAGGACTCAGTTAACTTGCTCAGTTGCAGTTCTTTAATCACGTTTTGTGAGTAGATGGTTCAGTATGGCGCTTGTTGGTGACTTTGAACTGACTACCTTCCATAGAGAAAATGATCAAATTCCTACTTCGAGGGTGAAGGCGAGTTGCTTTTAGCCAAGGCTACCATTTGTACGCTTCTGTCTACCTCTGCACATACTCTACCCAAATGTTAGTTACAATTTCCTATTCCTCTTTTCTCACGCCATTAAAATAAAATAAATGGTTTATTCCTCGTCGATGCAAGGCACAGTCCAATTATATAGTCTGATCAATGTGTACAGCAGGATCGCAAAAAAATAATCAATTTGTTCACGCTTTATACAATAAATCCCAAACCGGGTATTAAAGTAAATGGCAGGTTTAAAACCTGCCAAGAACAATGACAAATGCACAGTTAAACAGATGTCCAGGTAAAGTAATACGAACACTCGTGGAACCGTCCCCAGAGGGCCTGCTTCCATGCAAGTTATTCCATCGAAATGTTTCGCCCGCACTTCGGTGCTATACCTGGCCCCTTGCCTGTGTGGCGTAGTAGCATATGAGCCATCACCTGTTTATCATATGTTGTGTTCTTTTTAGGGCTGCTTTTATACATGTATTATGAGCGATGAAGCTTCAGCCTGATCCGTCATGCGGACCATACAATTCTGACACTTTTTTCTACGCCAGTTAGTTAGTGGCAATGTGTTTTGCATAGGTATATTCGTTTATAATCTGGAAGCTTCAATCCTTCACCTCAGCTCAGCCTAGTCGTGGCCAACGATGAAATAAGGAAGAATGCAAACAAAGAAACATGAAGTGCAATAGGTCTAATATAGTGAATGCCCAAAATAGGCAGATACGTTTTACAATAGCGTACAAGTGTATCGAGCCGATCATACGATCAAATTGTGCGGCGTGACAACCGAAGATAGGTAACTACACGAGTTGTCCATAGGCAAAAAATTAAGTAGGGAATCCGATATCGCCAATCACTGAAATCCGGTATGTGTTTCTCAACTGTTAGCTCCAGAAAAGAAGGGAAATAGTTAGCATTACAGAACAAATGTGGCGAAGGGAATCGCAGTACAGACATTACAGATTAGTCAATTTGTGGGGAGGATTACGAAAATTGGTCCTGGCCCCATACCAGTAGATAATTCTGCTCTCGGTTTTAGATCAGAAGGCAGTTGGTATGAACTAAGTATGAAAGGGGTTAAACCGCATAGGAAGTTGCGTTAAAGAATATCATGGAAGCAGTTGTAACTTAGATGATCAAATTTGCACTGGTGCATTTGTTGAACATGTTTCCAGTCGATGTTCTCCAGTATCATGCATGATCCGTCCCTTCTTCACACAGCTTTTCATCATCAAATTGCATTTTTAAGATTCATTTCACTCTCTCAGTTGACAGATAAACCTTTATCATTTTCTTGAACATGCAATAAGGTTCAATACATCTCTTTTGGCAGCTTATTCCATATGGAGCCATACTTAAGAAGGTAGAAATTTCTCCTTAGGCTGGTCTTGAATTTAGGTAAAGAGACTATACATTCACTATCTCGCAGTTCATAAATAGTATTATCCCGAAAATGCAAATGATAGGTGTCAACATATGCTTTCCGCCACGCGGGTTTTTGGAGGAAGCACACATTTAATTGCATACTTTGTAACCACAGAGTTTCAAGATTCAGCTCCTTGCACCTATGAAACAGAGGTTGAATAACCAAATATACGCTTCACATATACGCTTCTTGAAGGCACGTTGAACCTTTTCCATGGCCCTCAAATCACACTTTCGTAGCTTGCTGAACGTAACACAGCAATATTCAAGCAAAGGTCTGCTACTGATTTTGAAAGCAATTAGTCTGGTTTCTTTCGAGGTTATCAGGTGGCATATGAGCCCGATCAACTGCTTAGCCTTTTTCACGATATGCTTTGTATGTTCGCTAAAGTTTAACGAACTAGACCATCGCAGACCTAACTCGCGGACAGACTGGCTGATGGGAATGACTTCGTCATGAAGCCTGAGCAACTCTGCTTCTACCTGGAATCCGTACGCCAGAATGCTGCACTTCGATGTTGCAAACGTGTCACCTGTCAGCCCATCTCTCAATGGCTTTCAAGTCGCTTTGGATATTGTTGAGTTTAGCGGTATGCTGAGAACCTGGGTACGTGTAAACCACTTTTAGATTATCAGCAAACAAATAAGGCTTCCCAAATTATATAACAGCAACAAGGTCATTTATATGCAGTAGGAGGAGTAACGGACCTAAGACACTGCACTGTATCACTCCACTGGAGACCAAATGAGGTGAAGAGATGTAACCATTGATATCCACGACTTGCGACCGTCCTACTAGATACGATTGGAGCCAAGAGTGAAGCGGATTTGTCACGCTGTACCTACTTTATCTACCAGCCTCTTGCGTGTGACTCTGTCAAACGCTTTTTGCATGTCAAGGAAGATAATGCACTGAAGACCTGAGTCATTTGCTCCATTTAAATGGTTAAGGAGGTCAACTTGACAGGTAACACACGAACGGGACTTCAGAAAGCCATGCTGTGAAGGTGAGAGCAGTTGGTGCGATAATAGGAACGAAACCAAATGTTCCTTAACAATTCTCTCTAGCATGCGTGAGAGAATGGCAGTGTGGCTAATGGGTCGATAGTACCGGATGTCAGTTTTCGCCCCGGACTTATGTCTCGGTATGACCGTAGACCTTTTCCAACGTTCGGGATATTGACCAGACTGGAGAGACAAAGAGAAGATATTCAATTACCGAAGAGGGATATCATCTCCACCGTGTTTGACTAAAGCAGAAGTGATGCCATCAGGGTCAGGTCTGTAGGATCGTCGTAGACAGGCAATCATGCGCTTTGTCGTAGCTACACTAAGGTCGATCACCGAGACTTGTTCAGAGAAGTTAATCGAGGTTGACAATTCCAGCGCTTTACTTTCAGTAATAAAGGATCAGCCAGATATGAGCTAAAGGCTTCTGCTATAGCAATTGAGGAATCAATGCATTCGTCTTCGCGCATGACGATGTGGGAAAGTAGGTCAGTTTTGCCACCTTTTCTTTTTCCTCAGTAATGCAGTCACCAGTTGACTTGTATTACTACTATTTACAGCCCGTTGTTCTTCCTGCATGAGACGGATTTGGTGTTTCTTATCCGTCTCAATTATAAGGCGTTGAAGTCTCAGTAATACGCTGAAGTCATGAGTTCGCTTATATGTACAGGTTAGCACTCGTATTTTTCTCTTGTCCTTTGCGTTGATAACGCACATAGAAGAAGTTCTCGTATTATCACTTTAGGCAAGCATGCTTAACCACATAGTCGCATTGTCCTAGAAGATGTCAGAAGCTCCCTGAATTTCAGACAAAAGAAGGAAATGGTCCCGATTTTTGACCCTAAGCAGTGGGGAGCATGTCACCCAATTGACATTTTGCAGAAAGGGTGGAAACATCGCTGACCTCACATGCGACGACTCCGCTACAGTGTTACTTTCGACTATTTTGTAATCACATCCCGCGATACCGTCTATTACATCAGTAGCTATCGGGGCGTGCCTATGGTAAAAAGTAGGTCTAGTATATTTTTACCTCTGGTAGCCGTGAGAACATGTTGCTCCCAGCCACTAATGGGGACGGAAGTTATGAACTCAGCATGTTTCGCGTTTGTGACTAAGTTGGACCAACAGATGTCGTTTTGGTTAAAATCTCCTCCAATGACTTTCTCCAATGAACTATGTTTCGATATGCAATTAAAGATGTCAACTAAATGGTTCTCATCCATGAGGCTGACCCCAGGGTGAGCGGTATATACAACCTACAACCGTTCGCTTAGTACCGAAGGACAAGTGTAACCC